CCAAAGCGCATAACAGTTCCTGTACGCGGCGCGCAGCTCTTTCAGTACTATTCGACTGCAGCGCTGCCGCTATGGGCAACACGGAAGGTATCAAGTATGGTCACGGCCCTTATTACTTCTAGTACACTCTACTACAGTGGCTAGAATAAAGAAGTGTGATGAGCGGCAAGTGGCGCCTGCGGAGCGCACTGAAGTCTCTGAGGAGGAGCCGCGTGGGGGCGCGCGCAGTTGTTTATATGTTGTTTGCACATTTCCGACTGTTTGGTCGAGCGCGTTTGTCCTCGTTTTTTTTTTTTTTATTGCGGTGGCACTCTGACACCAATGCTTTTGTACGCACTCTTATGGCGCGAAAACAAAGCCATTGCTTTGTCCCAGGGTGCACTACAGACAACAAGTCAGCTAACAAGTCAGGGACGTTCGCTTCTGCAAGCATTAGTCGACACAGCGGCACCGCCGTGACAATGTCACCGACTTTCCCGTTCCTTGTGCAGGTTTGTGATCGAAAATACTGTTTTCGTAGTGATTACCTGTGCTTAGTGGTGTTGTCGTGTTCACATACTCTTCTTTGTTGTTTATCTGAATGTTTTGCCGTTGCCAGCTTGCTAGTGTCTCGTTCGGGTGATGTTGAAGAAAATCCCGGGCCTATCACTAAAGAAAAATTATTGAAATAATTAAGACACAAAAGGCGGTCCTGGAGAAAGTAACCAAAATAGAAAAAAACCAAGCATCTGTTGAGGCTTGGGTAGAGGACAGGCTTTCGAAAATAGAGGAAAAGCTACAAATTTTGGGCGAAGCCCCACTCAGGCTTGCTAGCCTTGAAAGTTTGCCAGTGAAGCCGAAACCTCAATAGCAACTGTTAGTCAAAAAGTTGATGAGTTCGTTACTAAGTCGTGCACTGGCAGGAATGCCCTCCTCAAGCGACTTGACGATCTCGAAAACCACTCTCGGCGGAATAATCTTATTATCAGAGGGATAAAAGAAGACATGAATGAAACTGAAGATGTTTTACATGAGAAGGTTAACGTCGACGTTTTTGATAAGCTGCTAAATCTTAAAGTTAACTCAGTTGAACGAATTCATCGCTTAGGAGCAAAACAGAGGGGAAAAGATAGGCCCATTATCTTGAGAGTTTCAGATTTCAGAGATAAGACTAGTATCCTACCAAACTGCTTTAAACTGCGTGGTAAAGAGGTCAGCATAAACGAAGATTTTTCTAAACGAGTTGTTGAGGTACGCAGAAGGCCGTGGGAGTCTAGTGCTGAGGAGAGAGAAACGGGGGCCAAGGTTAAACTTATTTTTGACAAAATGAAAATAAATTATGTGGTGTACAGTTGGAACGGGGATACTAATATGAGGTACATATGTAAGACACCTCCCGAAACAACTGACAGGCGTCGTGATGGCGACTGACGGTGTCAGAGTAGTTTTAACCGGTTAAAGTTAATAAATATAAATGTCAGAAGTAATATGAATAAAATTGCGGATCTTGAGGCTGTGGTACTAGAACTCGATCCCAACTATTTAGTAATGACCGAAACATGGTTGAAGAAAGATGTACTGGATGCCGAGGTTACTCCTCCCGGATACAAAATCGTGAGAAGAGACCGTGAAACAAAAGGAGGAGGTGTGGCCATTTTAATTAAAGATAATATATTAGTTAGTGTTCTTCCGCATGCTATTGACGTCGTAGCTCTTTGGATTAAAACCACGCTCAGTAATCGCTCGGTATACATTGGTGCTATGTATAGACCTCCGAACTCTCCAGTGAATGCACTTGATAGCTTAAGAAGCTTTATGGATTCCCACCAGAAGCATGATGATAATATTATCCTTATAGGAGACTTTAATCTGCCTCGAATTAATTGGTCGATGCTTACTTCAGAGGGAAGCGAAGTCACTAAAGGTGATCAGCTGCTAGAGCTCACTTTCTGCTACGATATGACTCAGGTCGTCTCATCTTGTACGCGTGTGGGTCCAACCGCTTCTTCAGTGCTTGATTTGATGTTCTTATGTGGATCACTGCTCCCGTTTCTTGGTATGTGTGAAATTGAGGACGGTCTTTCCGATCATAAAATGGTTTTATTGTCTTTAGATCTGTATGTCAATATCATGTACAATGATGAAAAACTTATGATGCCAAATTTTAGTGCCGCAAACGACTTAGCCATACTAGAACATCTGGAGCAGTCATATTATTCATTTCTGAAAAGGTACCGAACATCTCGTTCAACAGAAGAACTGTGGCGGTTTTTTCATTCTACGATAATGTTTTGCATCCAACAATTCATTCCCTGTCGTCGTAAAAATGTGAGAAAACGCAATCCTTGGAATACGTGCGATATAATACACGCTAAAAGAAAGCTTAAACGCAAGCGAAAGGCGTGCTTTGTCAATCCAAGCATTGAAAAAAAGAAGAACGTCCAGGTTTTAAGTAAAAGCCTCCGGCAAAGTGTGAAGACTTCTAAAAATAAGTTTTATAACTCAACGTTGAAACAATTTCTGAAAGAATCCCCACACAAATTTTGGAGGTACGTGAATCTTTCTACCAGGCCGAGTAGTATGCCTAATCATAGAAGTAGCAAGGATCATGCAGAGGCGTTTAATTTCTTCTTCTCGTCAGTTTTTACAATCGATGATGGTACTGTACCCAACATCAGCGATTCCTTAGATATGATTCCTATCCAGGATATAAGCATCACTGAAGAGGGCGTTCTAAACCTCTTGCTTCATATAAATACCAAAAAAGCCCTGGTCCTCACAATATTCCCAATGAATTTCTTTATAGATATGCCGAATGGTCATCGAAATTTTTAACATTAATTTTTCAATCATCCGTTAATAGTGGCTCTTTTCCGAGTGCTTGGAAACGTGCAAAAATCGTGCCCATACACAAAGGGGGTTCCGCATCTCACGCTAGCAACTACCGACCTATATCGCTTACAAGCACCTGTTCAGTAATATTAGAGCACATTGTATCAAAGCACTTGCTAACCTATCTCGATGAACATAATTTAATTGTTTCCTGTCAGCATGGTTTTAGGAAAGGGTTATCCACCGTTACTGAGCTTATTGAGCTTGTACACGACTTATCTAGCACAGTTAATACCCGTGGTCAAACTGACATAATATTTTTAGACTTCGCAAAGGCTTTCGATAAGGTGTCGCACAATAAGCTCTTACTTAAAATCGATAGTGCCTTTAAAAATTCTGCCCTCACCCGGTGGTTAAGTTCCTATCTTGCACGCCGAGAACAATATGTCCAACTAGGGCACCACCAATATGGTTTATCGCCTGTGGTATCTGGGGTGCCCCAGGGTAGTGTCTTGGGGCCCCTCTTGTTCCTGGTGTTTATAAACGATCTACCAAAAAATATTACTACTCAAATAAGAGTGTTTGCTGTTGATTGCATACTATAAAGAAATGTACAGTCACCGAGCGACCAGGCCGAACTTAATCTTAACTTAGAATTAAAAACTGCAGCTTAACCCAGCAAAAACTGTTTTTATGTCCATTTTTAGAAAAAAGAGCATTCTTAGTTATCCGTACAGTATTAACGGTCACGAACTTGCTCAGGCTAAGCAATATAAATACCTAGGTCTCATATTTACACCCGACTTGCATTGGAATCTTCATGTTGAGGAACTTTGTTCCAAAGCTAACAAGGTGTTATGGGGCCTGAGATGTAACCTCCACTGTGCCTTTCCCGAAGTTAAAACTTTAGCTTATAAAACTTTACTAAGACCCATAATCGAATATACTAAAGTAGTGTGGGATCCCTATACTGAAACTAACTGTTTGAAACTTGACAAAATACAGCGACTTAGTTCTAGGTTTATATTTAATAAATACCGTCGTTTCAATTCACCTAACGAATTATCCAAACTTGCAGAGCTCCTACCTCTACAAAAACGCACCGAATATGAAAGGCTGAAATTCCTTTTCATGATAGTTCATAATCACTTTAAAATAAGCTCAGACAAGTACTTTGAAATCAAGACACAATAAACGTCAAGACACAGACACAGTATGTACATACCGCCCCCCAAAGTTCATAATGACTGTTTCAGGTACAGCTTCTTCCCCAGGGCGATTCAGCAGTGGAATTCGTTACCAGATTCAGTTGTGAGAATCAAATCGCTTACTGACTTTTTAGAAGCAATAAAACATATAGTGCACTCTGATACCATGCGCTAAGATTGTGAATATGTGTGAATTACGTGCTTTGTAACTAGGCTATGATATTTATTATGTGTTTTATTATGCTGTGATGTAAAATATGATGTGTATTTTGGTAGTGATGCTCTTTTTTCTTATTTTTCACTAACTTCTCTGTAAACTATATGCTTAGCCATTACGATATATTTGTTGTATGTGCTCTGAAATGATTTGTTCTGGTAGTGAAGGTTCTTTTTCTTATGTTTCTCTTATGCACATTTCTGTTTTATATGAGTCAACTCCTCTCCTGTAATAGCCCGCAAAGGGCTGACAGTATCAATAAGTGAAATGAAATGAAATGAAATGAAAAAGAAGCATGCGTTGTTCGGCGTTCCAAAGGACAAAGCTCTGTTTGCGCAGTAGCGGAGAGCAATCCCGCACGCTGACAAGCTGCTTCAAGAAAACTCAGCTGTGTGTAAGTTGCACTTCGATGAGAAGTACATCTCCCAGACCTTGGAGCACACTGTGACTGACAAAATTGTCCGCATTGAAAGGGGTAGGCCCATAGGCGTGCTTGCCGTTCAGGTGGGAGAACTCTTCGCATTTGTAGACGCTCTTGAAATCACTTCTTTGAAGTGGTTTAGCTACAACGAGCTTCACAGTGACATCTTGAAACAGCTTGTTTCCTGCCTAAAAAAAAAAAAAAAGACGTCCCAATGGGCTGCGCACAACATGGTCCAAGCCTCACCAATCAAGTGACCAAGTTTTTTCTGCTTACTCATTTGCGTGTTTACACAAAGGCACTTCACAAGGAGCGAGAAACTTTCAATGAAAAGAGGAAGTACCTGAGGATCAGGTGCATCACCTAGGCTTGATTGCATCCCAATGCTCTGGGGGGGTGCTTGTGAACTGTAAAACTTTTTTCTTGAGGATAAAAAAAGACGCGTGATCAATTATTAAAGATGCATTGTGAACAGATAGAGTGTCACTACTCGGAAATGCGTTGTATGACCTATGTGGAGAAAATAAAAGGTTTTCATCCAGATATCGCTCGTGATTCTCATCTCTGAGTTTGACGCTACGAACTACGGGGCTTTATTTACAGATTAGTGCTTGAGGAAATGATGATTCGCCGTGGAAGGTGTTGCAAGCAATGGCTCACAGCTGAGTTCATCGTTCCCCTCTTCTACCACTTCATCAATAAAATGTTTCAGTGCCGTCACGCGCTCACTTTCGGCACCCTGTCCATATTTCAGTTCAGTCGCGCACCTGCGTAGGCATCCTGTCATTCTGAAAGCTAACATAATTTTTCAGTCACCATTTGAGGCCATGCATGAGCAAGAAAATTCATTTTAAATGTTTCACATTGCCCGTGCAAATGCTTGATTCCCATCTCTGCACAGCGCATTGCCGCCTTGGGTGACGATTTTCTCCGAAGGGATTACGCGCTAGCCGACGCATTCATCACACTTCCCTATTCTAGCCACTGTAACTCTACCCACAGCCACAAGCGAGAAATCGCGACTAGATTGACTTGTCTCGATGTCGAAATGTTGCCATGGTTGTGAGACTACCTAGGCATGAGCGAGTCTATGCTGTGTTTAGAGTTTGCGCTGTTTAACCGTAGGTGACCAATAATCACTGTTTCGATTAACCGATGAATTTTACTGTGCAACACAAAGAATTCCAACTATATGAGCCCGTTTAATTCTGTTAATGAGACATTTTCAATTAAGCAAGTTTCTTTTAGTGGGAGTCCACTGTACTTGGAAAATTTTTGTTCTATATGTATATAGAACAATGTGTGTATGTATAGAATCCTGTATATGTTGTGTCTAAAGTTGTATAGTATGTGTAATCTTTTGCCTGTTTTTTTTTTTTTATTATCTAACTGCCACTGATGTTTGAGTTATGTGCGTCTAGAAAGGGGTGTGACACTCAGTCAGGCACTTGTACCATTTTGTCACCCATAATAGGGAGCACAAATGTACATATTAATTGACTTTGTCTGAAATAAAGTTGAAAGTTGAAGTTGAAATGTGTTGCAGAGTGGTAGAGGTATCACGTGAATTTCCATATTTGGGTATGGCTTGGAAATGCTTAATTATTATTTCATCTTTATTATTCTTATTTATTGCATCAAGGAGGAGCGTTGCCTGGAACGTCAAGCGAAAAGCAAGTAAATACAAGATAAAAAGTGCTCAGCAGCGCAAACCACAGGAGGAGATAGAGGAGACGAGACAGACGTCAGCGCTCTGTCTCGTCTCCTTCATCTTCTCCTGTTGTTTGCGCTGTTGAGCACTTTTTATCTTGTATTTACTTGCTTTTCGCTTGACGTTCAAGGCAATGCTTCTCCTTCATTCAATAAATAAGAACAATAAAGATGAAATAACAATTAAGCGTTTCCAAGCCATAACCAAATATGGAAATTCACGTGATACCTCTACCACTCTACAACACATTTCAACTTCAACTTCTCGTCTCCGCTATGCCCTCCAGTCATTTGGGCTGTAAAGCACTTTTTCATGATGATACGGGGCGCGAAAAAAACGACACACAACAGAGAAGAAGTACACAGACGACGCGCTAAGAAGTACACAAGCGCGTCGTCTGTGTACTTCTTCTCTGTTGTGTGTCGTTTTTTTCGCGCCCCGTATCATCATGAACCAGCACCAACTCGCCCAACTTTTCACTTTACTGAGTATAATTTCTTGTACAAAGGGCTCTTTTGAGTGTTCTAACGAGCGCGTCGTCTGTGTACTTCTTCTCTGTTGTGTGTCGTTTTTTTCGCGCCCCGTATCATCATGAACCAGCACCAACTCGCCCAACTTTTCACTTTACTAAGCACTTTTTATCATGTTATGCCAACATGCCCAATCCTACTGTCTCTCAAGTAAAGACACCCCTGACTGAATTCCTAATGCGCAATGCAGTGGCCAGTGAATAGTTGTGAAGCGTGAGCAGATTTTGACTAGCAGATCCTGCCTACGTCGGCCTAGCGAGACGAGAGAGGGGAAGGGGAGCAACAGCTTTGTGGGAGTCTTCCTGGGCCAGCACGAGACGCGAGCATGCATAGTGGGGACTGTGGACGGTGCCGCCACCAACGCGCCTCATTGTGCGACTAAGAAATTCTCCGCATTTAAAAAAGCCTATTTGAGAAAATATACACCCAAGCATTGACTTTGCCTTACATACCTTACATACACCTCGACTCAACATTTTCAAATGATTATATAAAAGTGCGAAACCATTTTTTTCTCGCTACATGCAAGCTTCGCCAACAGCAAGGCAGCCTTCTCAGATGAATGAATGAATGCTTTGAGCGTCCCCTTTATAAAGGGATGGTCACATGTGTGCCACCAGACTTGCAAAAAAAAAAACGAAAGAAAAAGCTTCTTTTTTATGTTGGCCTAATGCCTTATCTACTTCTATTATATCGATCTTCTTATAAGAAAAAAATATAAGCTTATGACCCATCTCTCTGTATCTTCAGGCAAAATGACCTCATTTTCTCACTATTTTTGTCCTTTATTTCTACGTATCTGCCACCAGTACTCTGTCTTTTACTTGCTTCTATAGCAGACGTGTTCAGCTTTTCATGTTTGTCCCTGAAACCCAAAGCCTGATGTAGGCTTCTGCCCACACGTACTGTATTTGTAATGAACGCCACCCCCCCCCCCATATTTTTCAGAAATGTTGATGCCAATTTGGAGGGAGAGTTCATTAAGTGACAGAAAAAAGTCACGCGAGTTATAACAGCGCAAATTTCGCATGACCGCCTTGCTTGCTTTGGCCCGTGAAATGCGCGACAAATCTTTTTTTGTAGCCTAAAGCTCTTCTTGTTTCTTCCTGTAAGGAAAGTGCATGGATTGACGTCAAAGTGTCATCCAGTCGCTCGGTCTCAATGCTTTAGTGCATGCTGTTTGTAACCATCCGCACAGCTAGCATACCGGCCAAACACTGTGCAATAAGTGTCCCAACAACGACAAACCCAACAACAGAAACGCAACATCGGATGACGGCACGTAGACGTTGTGGTAGACGTTGCGAGTGCACGGCGCGTCGTCTCTGCTGTGAGTGCCGTCGTGCTTTGCATAAGGTCCGTTCGATTCGTCTGCCCCACGTGAAACAGTTCACGGGGTGCTGCACTTTGCCATTCATTTCAGTGGTGCAGCATTGGCGACCTCTGAACCCTGTCATTTGTTTCAAGAGATGCAGAAGAGGTGCAGCACTGGTTCACGATTTTCGTGCACCTCCTACGCTGATGGTGCCAGCTTGGTGCAGCCGTGCATGCAGCTGAGCAGACGACGCAGCACTCAAACGTATGCGGCATATCCGCCTCTACTAACGCGGTGTGTTTTGCCAAGATGTTTGCACCTCATAAATTGTCCACATGTGCGGTTCGCCATCGTTCAGTGTTAGCTGAACGGTGTAAATTAAGCCAACAGAAATAAGATCTGCACCTTGTTGGCACATCGTCATTCGTTTCGGGGGTCGCGCTATACCTGTACTGCTGAACTCACGCTGCACAATTTCTGAACTTCGCCTGCACAGCCATGAACCAGTTCCGATTGGTGCAGGTGAATCGAACGAACCTATAGCCTCCGAGATGGCAGGCACGCGGGGTGTTTTTACGCCGCGCACCTGCTATTTCGGAGATCACGCACTTTGTTTTTTCGCATAGAGAAAAGAATTCCTTCCTCCTTGTTTTTTTTTCGTTTTTGTGCTGCTATGCTTGGGTGGCGCTATCAGCAAAGAGGTTTATTTTGCATTTGACAGATAGCACTTTGCCGCAAACGCGCGACTTTCAAATTTTGACTAACGTCGTTCGCGCTCGCGCTGCTTGCAACTGTTTAGCATGGTTGCGAAATTATGTTTTCACTTCTATTGTGTTGGTATTTTGCGATATAATGGCTTGATTTAACATTGTTTCGATAGCCAATGGCACTGGCTATGATACCGAAATAAAATGAACTGATACATTAAGAAAAGTATTTTTTTCCTTTTTTTTTTTTTCAAGGACGAAGATGGGGGTGGCTTCTTCATGTGAGTGGGTTGATTATGCGGGTAAATACCATATACCTGGGCGGATATCGCTGCATTCAATCAGAACATGTTCCCCGCTGCATGTACATTGTTCTTCTTCTTTATTCAATCTCGCTTTATGACTATGCATTCTAAGGCAACCCAACCTTGCTTCGAACATTAAAGCTCTTGCCCTTGAATTGTCGTAAGCCCTCTCTCTATATTTCGTTTTTGCCCTTTCGGTAGTATAATGAGAGCTGAAGTAATACTGCAAGGCGAGCTAGTTGGCATGAATGCATAATAACTTATTCTTAGCGAACACTGATAAGCTGTATATGCGAAAATCTGGTGTTTGTATCGGATGAAAATTTACACTCGTACTGAGTGACAACTTTTAGTAGAATGGATCGTGATTTGCTGCCAGATCTGTAGCAGGTTGCCACTACAATATTTTGCTTAGTGGATAATTTCTTGGTACTGGGCAGAATTGTGCAATTAGATACATTTGTACTCAGGGAGCTTTTGAGACAAAAGGAGGGGAACTAAAATTTACTTGTACTGTTCCTGTTCAAAACACCTTGCAGTTTTTGGACCTTATGTTATAATCTTGAGCCAACCGTACATGTTTTAAGTACACTCCTTCATCAAATAAGCCCCTTCTGAGCTACCACTCCTTTCATTCCAGGGTAATAAAAATGGAGCGGCCACATCTTGTCTAAAATTCGTAGTTACCACGTTGTGTCATCATTTGGCATAGAAGAACTTTCAGAGAGCAAGTTATTAGGCTAAAACACACCGGCTTTCCCGAGACTGCTTTGTAGGAAATTCGTAAGCGCCTTATTAAGCATATTAAAGGCAGCCAACATCACCAGCAAGAACGTGAACGAGGCAGAGTAGTGGTGATACTGTATGTACATGCACTGTCACACCGAATTAAAAATACTGCCTATAGGCATGGGCTAAACGTTGCTTTTATGGCTAAGAATAAAGTGGCTAAGCTGTGGTTTGGAAAAATGTGGATGCTGTCAGACGAGGAAGCGCACAGACTTGCATGATTAGGGACAAGGTTAGTTTTGTTCCATAAGCATCTAACCTTGTTTGCTACATTCCTTTGACATGTGGACGAGCGTATGTGGGGCAGACTGGTCACTGCATAAACACAAAGGAAGGCCGGTAACAGCCGTACATGGTGCAAAGTGTGGGCGCGAGATACGCTTTTTGAATACACTCATTTTGTTTAGACACCACGATCTCACATTAACATTAGGCAATCATCTTTTATCAGCCACCCTGCAGTGACTATTTTGGAAAAAGAAGTGTCGCAACTGAAGCAGATAATGAGCACAGATCCGAGAAAATGGTGCGCATGGGCTGATAGCATTGATATTTTCCTTTTCTGAATAAAGCCTTCAGTTAATAGTAGCGCTCGTCCCTCTCTTTGTCTGTGTGTGTCAATTTATTATGTATACTGCTTCTTTTCCATGTGTCCACACTCTTCATATACCTGGACACTTTCCCTGCCCATCTACTCTTCTTTCCTAAGCCTAGGGGTGAAACTGGGTACAAGAGTTGGTGCACAGTCCTGGGAGCAGGCAAAAGTGCTTTTTGTAGCAGGCTTGAAGCCGCCAAAAGGGCCTTTTCGAGCAAGTTTATAACAGTAGGAACGTCCAGACCTGAAGTAGCCCAGTTCAAAAGACTTGTGAAGCCACATTTATTCACTGCTGTGGTTTTCACTCAGCCAAATTGTGCAAAAGCTTTTCTATTGCAATAGAAACTATTTAGACACTCTTAATGGGTTTTTGCCACTGCCCTCATGTCCTGAAAAAATTCCAAATTGATAAAATAGCCCTACACAATGTATGTTTCAACCACAGGTAACAGAACTTTAGCGGCGAACACGGCCAAAGCGACCATGGTAGTATATGAGAGACTATTGGTCAGCTGCCAGCTCGTAATAAGATCATGTGCTATGGGACGCCATAACAGGCAAAAAAAAAGTGTTCCACACTCGCTGTCACAGCTAAAGCAGCACTGACCCACGCTGCCACGTTGCATTCACATATATATCTAATAAAGTAGATGGGAGGAGAGCAGCCGTGGTAGCTCAGTTGGCAGAGCATCGGACGCGTTATTTGAAGGTCACAGTTTCAGTCTCGAACCACGACAAATTATTTTTTCATCCCTTTTTCTTTATTCTCATTTACATTACAATTACCTCGTCTAACATCCCCTATACTTTCTATGGCATGATTGTCTGTTAGATCTCATCAACATCATATAGCAGTCGCCCCGCCGCGGTGGTCTAGTGGCTAAGGTACTCGGCTGCTGACCCGCAGGGCGCGGGTTCAAATCCCGGCTGCGGCGGCTGCATTTCCGATGGAGGCGGAAATGTTGTAGGCTCGTGTGCTCAGATTTGGGTGCACGTTAAAGAACCCCAGGTGGTCTAAATTTCCGGAGCCCTCCACTACGGCGTCTCTCATAATCATATAGTGGTTTTGGGACGTTAAACCCCACATATCAATCAATCAAATCAATCATATAGCAGTCAATTTTTCACTGCATACAGACGACGCTTTCACTGTTAGTGGTCATTAACAATCTGCTGTGGCCAGGCACGGCTGTGCTGAGCCAACAGGGACATTTCACCAGCAACTGCCACAGTGGCGCTGCATGTTCGCTTGGAAACACCAGTGCACGAGCCTATTTTCAAAGTCAGCATCTATGTGAACACTAACCTTTTGAGCGCAGACCATCAATTATTCATGCTGCCGGGAGAAATTCACTTTTCAGAACTCTAGGGTGCAACTTAATTTAATAAACTTCTGGAAGGCAGTGAAATCCACCACCTTATGCTGCCATTGCGGTTGAAGGAGGAAAAGAAAGGATGCTAACTCTAAATCCCAGCACTAATAGTGAACAGAGGCATCCATTGCCGAGGAGGTGGCTTTTCCAGCCGGTTTTCCAGTCTAGGAACTGGGTGTGAAGGGGAGGAGCAGAAAACAGAAGGTACCTCTGTGCAACTCCAGGAAGATGGATAATGAGTGCAGGGGAGTACAAGTGCTCAGGGCTTTGTTTGTCATTTACTTCTTACAGGGCGCTGCACTACGTCACATCAGCTGGACATTGAAAAGCTCTGTACCACAAGAATTTTTCATTGGTTCATTACACATTTGCTACTCGCCCTGTGCCAGCTTCCTGCACTCAACGGTGTCAAAGAAACTTGGAGCTGGACACAAGGCAGACGCATCAACACATCATGCACATGACATGCCCAAGACGTTCTTATTGCCTGTTTTTGTGAGATGAATCGTGCACCTTTCAAGAGGCTGGCATGAATCATGTGTTCTCATCGATATATAGCGCATCACACCCCTGTTGTAAAGGCACCAGTAACAAGCCAATTGTTGTCAGGACTGGCGCCAGCAGGATGCGCGAAAACTAAATGGAGGTAGATTAGTCATGCACCTCGCTCAATTCGCAGTAAAAATAAATAAACAAAAATGTGAACATATACGGTTGGCATGTTTTAATATTTCTATCAACTTTCATTCTTCTATTCAAGAAACAGATTGCACAAATTACATGTCGCCTCAAATATTTTTCGCTGTGTCACGAACTCCTGCGACTTACGCAGGACCACTTCTTGTACATCAGCTTCTCCATGTTTGGGCATGCGCCTGTGAGATAAAGGGCAGGCGGCGTACAGTCTGACATTTCATTTTTTTTCCGGGTTGGTAGCCCCGAAAACGCGTAGCCTCTCGAAACGTTCAAACCTGGTAAGAGGAGAAATCAACCCTTTGCGAATAGACTTGGCCAATACGAGACTAAAAAACAACCCTTCTGGCCTTTTAGAGGTCAGAAGGGTTTTAGAATAAGCAAGAGATGCATGTGTGTTCAATTAAAAGAAAGAGCGTGTTAAGCAAACTGTGTGGAGAAAAGGACAATTGCATGATTATTGGTGCCTTTAAGCCATCATAGACAGACTTTTTTTTTTGCTTTCCTGTCGTGAACACAGGTCGCGCATGTTTTTTTTTCGAAAATTTGAATTTTTTAAAAATTGATTACTTTTTAGAAATTTATTATTTATTTATTTGCAAAATACTGCTAGCCTAAAGAGGCTGTAAGCAGGAGTGGGGATATAAAGATGAAGGAATCTGCACATACTACACGAAATAAAATGATAAAGAAAGCAATAACGGCATCATCATCATCATCAGCCTGACTATGTCCACCGCAAGACAAAGGCCTCTCCATGTTCCGCCAGTCAACTCGGTCCTGTGCTTGCTGCTGCCATTTTATACCCACAAACTTCTTAAGTCTCATCTGCCCACCTGTCTTTCTGTCTCCCCCCAAATCCACTTGCCTTCTCTGGGAATCCAGTTAGTTACCGTTAATGACCAGCACTTATCCTGTCTATGCGCTACATGCCCAGTCCATGTCTATTCCTTCCACAGCAATATTATCATCATTTATATTGATAATCACAGCAGTGTGCAACTACACTGTAACCATTATAATTTCAATTCTTATAATACATACATGAAATGAAAGAATATATGCATCTCATTATGAAGTGACTGATACCTAAATCAAGTACAGTAAAAAAAAAACAGAAAAAATACATGCAGGTAGAAATGCACCAGTGAACATAGAGGAAATGAATTAGTAAACTGGCACATTTATATAGTCTTCAATTGAGCCTGGAGCGTCGAAATGAAATCTGATGTGGTCGTGCTTTCCACGACATCAGCTGGGAACTCGTTCCATTCTCTTACCATTCGTGGGGTAAACGTGTTGTGAAATAGATCTGTTCGGCAGTTATAGTATCGCAATTTTTTCGAGTGATGAGAGCCTGTGATTCACTTACTTACAGGTTGATATATGATACTAATGATATTAAGGGCCAAAAACTGCCTAATTTCAGCACCTAAAACGTGATTTTTTTAGTGCCAAAAAATGAGACCTCTACTAATGAGGCATATTTTTGAATTAGGAGGACCAACGGGAGTATATTGCTTGATTTTTGTACATTCTTGTTACTTTTGACACTCAAAATTTTAAAATGTTGCATGGTCGCTAAAGAAGGTGCTGGAGAACTACTCACTTGTCTCCGAAGAAATAATCGCTTTGGCCCAAGCGTTCAGACAGTGCAGCACAACAAGACTGGACTTCTTCAAACACCTTGGCATGGGGAGAACACATGCAGAAGAAAGGGCATCCTTCGTTATAGAAAGGAAATATGAACACGTAGTCATTCAGAGAAGGAGCTCACGACATTTATCACAATCCATAAATCATTTTTCAAATTATGACTATGGTTGATCAGCCCAGTTCAAATCAAACTGGAAAAATTTGGATTCCATAATGACATGGGTGACAGCTACAACTGTTATGCAAGGTGAGAAACTAAAATATTACACTAGGCAGAGCTGATTTAACACTTTTGTTATCCATGCTAATGCACATAGGGCTATAGGAACATTTTAGATATGTGTGAGGTCATTCACACAGCTCATAAAAGGAAACCTCAATGCAACAAAGCTCACAGTATTTTTTTTTTTTTTGCATGCACAACCTCAATATACTGATGCTTAAATGTGGTGCACAACAAGGACTTCTTTTCTTTATTGTGACCAAACTTGTATGGCCACTCCTAGGGCAAAATAATAGGGCTGTTCATTTTCGCCTTGATGGTTCAGCGAACTGGGAGCGCGGGGCTAAGCACAGACACAAAGCAAAGAGGAGGCACACAGCTATTTGCTTTGAGTCTGTGTTTACCCCCGCGCTCCCAGTTCGCTGAACCATCATGAATTACCAACTAGCCCACCTTTTTATCCTATTGCATTTCCACCTTGACATTGTTGTCATTGTTATGATAAAAAGAACCCAAGAAACACAAGCTGCACCACTTTCACACACTGGTATAAAAGGTGAAATAAGAATTTCTTTGAATGCGCACTATGGGGTTGATTAAAGGGTGTTCACACAAGGGCTCGATCTGCAGATTACCGAGTCATATGACAGGAGGGGTCACACTAGGCTTGTGTAAATAGTTGATTTTAAGTTCAAAGGAAACAATGATTTGATTGAATTTCAAATTCAATTTCAATAGCACATGTCACACATTATAAAGAAAAATAATCATACTGCATGTACTAACCTAACTAAGCTGCACAATATTTTTTTTCATTGAAGCATGGCACGTGCAAATGACATTCTTTTTGGTACAAAGTGGAAGCAACTTTGAATAGTATCAGGATTTGGTAACCTCCAAAATATGTCAAGTTTTAAATTTCACTATGCTTAGCACACAAGCACATGAGTTTAAAAAGCTTTTAAACTAAAAAAACGAATATATGCGAGGGTCATATGTACACTAAACTTTGAAGTAGGGCTTCGCGGCAGTGTGGATTTCCCTAGGATAGATGCATTTACGGTATGGATATAAATGTATTCTCGGTATAGAACCTCTAAACAGCAGTGAAACTACCTTTACCGGTGGGGTACTAGTGGACTAATATACACCTTAACTGAAGTACTGGGCAAGTTAGCATAGACTTATGTTGAAGCGTACCGCATAAAAAAAAAGAGAGCATTACTATTTATAATAGTACGGTTGGCTTCATCGATTGCTGCTGTGTATCTGTTGAAAGATTTATGGAAATCTTTGCTTTTTAGTTAAAATCAACAGTTGTTGCCTGGAACAGCGATGTCCACTTTCAAAAATCAGGCATATGCGTGATCTTGAGGGTTGCTCCTGTTCTAAGCGACGTCTTCTTGAGCCGTATGAGCAGAATAACACACTACGATCTAGAAGGGGAGTTAGGTGCCAATGATTTTCTTGTCATTTGCAGTGATCTTCATTACACACCTGTTATGATAAATGTTCTAAAGGAATTTTTAAGAAAGGAGGTCTTGGTTTGAATTTGTAAAGTTACTCAAAACAATTTCCTTCAGTCTTCGTATTCAAGTTTAAAACTTCGCTCCAGAGCATATTTTTTGGATTTTCTTGCCTAGAACAAGGCAATCCCTGTTGCAGTTTTTATCCGCACATTCGCACTTGATAAAAAGTAGTATATCTACTAATTGCCTATACGCAGCAGTCACTAAGTCATGAAGCAAAATGCAGTTTCCTTAGGCAAGTCAACCGGCTATGTGAACCTGGGTTTCCTGGTGATATTCTAGTTTCATCATCTAGCACAAGATAAAAAAAATTGAGAGTCCTGTGCAGCACAGTCACGGCTTCCTTTGCAGAGCATCTTGGGACATACAAGGAACCCACTATGCCTTTCAGAAAGCACTCCACGGTTCCTTACTCTCCAGATAAGCGAAGTACCTGCTACATATATGTAGGGAATTATGTACACTTTCTTTGTAGAGTACCAAAGTCGGTTGAAAGCACTGAATGACTTACTCATTGTGTAATTTGCATTGTGCCTGGCAATTCGCCTGGTTGTTCTTTTTACTTATATATTCAGGGTGTTTAACAATTCGCTTTTTCAAAACTCCCCGACTTTTCCAGGTTTTCCCTGATGATTTGAAGCAAATTCCACAATCGTTACATCTGCTTGGAAAACTCTGTGCACTGGAAACAGACCTTAGAATGGTGAAAAAAATCGAACAATCCTATAGAATAAGTAAATAAATGTACCGCATGTGCTCAGAATGTTCCGAGCGCATGCGGTAAATATAAAAAAAAAATATCTATATCTGGCCAAAATGATACCTCCGAGCCAGAGAGTCAGCAAGTTGGTTGTTTGGCAGAATTCAAACCAACGAGTTAAAACTAACCATAGCTAAAAGTTTGAAGGAGCCCACAATAGTCCAACAGCGCAGCCAAAGTTGCTAGGAAATGTAGAAGTGACACCATCACGTGGCATCTGTACAGAAGAACACCGGAACCTGGCCTGTTCTGCCACTGGAGTATATTCTAGTTCACTATAATGGTTACAGACCAGGCCACTTAGGATTTACTATTCAAGATGTAGATTGGATTGGATCTGATACGACTTGGTTGCTGTATTTACTAATGATTTACATCCCCACCTAAATGTACACGTCTAATATATACTTCTAAGCACAAAAATAACAACATTATACTAGTGAATAGGTTGTATTCACGTAAAGTCAGCTTGGCGGGCACAGCAGCGAAAAGTGTGCCAGCTGTGCTGGCAACCGCGTGGCCACCATAGCGGCAGTTGAGTACAGCGGTTCCAACAGGTGCACAGAAGTTGCTGCGGGCATAATGCTCTTGTTTTATTTCATTTGGATTTCTAAGGTACGAGATGTACCATTTGTGAAGCTGCTGCAGCTATGGGCGATGCGTATTCGGCTCGCTTGAGCGTGTAGACTGAGAAATTGGACGCCGATGCTAAACAGCGATACACGGACAAAGTGGCTCTATGCAGTGCGCCTTGACTCACTCATTCTGATGAGCGAGGAGGCCGCATTTGACACCAGACTGGTTTTGAAGGTGGAACTATGAAACAAAGGACTGCTTAGTGCATATACAGCAAGTTTTATGATGCACGAACGACTCAAAGCCAAGAAATTGTTGAATGCTTGAGTAGTGGGTTTGTGCACAAACCTTTGCTAAAAATTCACGCTGCCTGCGTCGCTGTGGGTGCAAAAGTAAAATAATCTGAAGTTATATTCCATCTGTAAGGGCTAAAGTCGAGTTTGCCCATGAATTTGATACTGGTGCAATGTTTTACGAATCTAGTTGAAGGGGCGGGCTTAACAGCACTTATGAACTTGCACGTAAAAACACCATTGCATGGGGCAGATTAGATTGTGGTAAAGTGCGCGCGAGATGGAAATTTCGACATGGCTGGCTCACCCACAGCTTTGATCAATTGAATGAAAAGTATCAGGAACGTTAAATTATTCTAGAGACCAAGGTTACAAGCCCCCTGTGCTTTGACACAAGTGTATTAAGCCAAGTCCCTTTAGCAAGCAAAACAAAAGTGTAATTTAAGCTCACAGTGTACTGCACGTGTATTAATATTAATAGTCCAACGCTGAGTACTCCGCTATGTTCTGCTTTTCGTAGATGCATTTACTGTGTTATTGTGATTTCTTTATTTTCGTGTTTAGTTTGCATCTGAATTACTCAAAGCTGTCAGAATCGGAACTCAACTGAGTTTACATTCGCAGACGAACCTGTTTTCAAGCACTCACCCCGCAGCCTTGTTAAAATCGGCCTGGCGAAGACAGCTGAATTACTCGCCATGACGCTTTGCTGCGACCTGCAGTGACCCGCTACATGACCGCGAATAACGTTCGGAAAGGAATAAAATTTAACCGGTTTTGCATTTTCAGGCTTGTCACCCTTCCATTTTGTGCGATGGCTGCACACAAATATGGCACAATCAAACGTAGTAACGAAACGGCTCAACTTTAGTATCACACAGAAGTACACACATGTGTACATGGCCCTAGTCATGGCGGCCGGACGTAGTGCCTTTCCCGCATTGCCCCGTACTGTGGAGATAGTTGAAGCATAGACTGCGGGAGCGCAGGATTGCTCGGAGGTGAGACCACTTATCCTGTGCGCCTTGCATAGACAATGACTAACAATGTCGCAAGAACAAAGCCACACTGCACAATTTTCTTTATTTCTTTTTTTTTACTACGAGCACAAGCATGTTGATGTTTTATTTCTCTGGATTCAGGACACTACGCTTAGCATTCGACAAAGTCTTCAAACACCTGCAATGAAAGCTAGGGGTAGCATTTAAAGCGATGATGTTCAGATATGCGCACTGCTGGCAAGAAGAAATCTGTCTGGTAGCATCAGCTCCCTCGATTCCACAGATTTATCACAGATGCAGGTGGGTTACCTTCATTTGCGTAGTCTTCTATAAATATAACGCTAAAAAATAATCACAAATTTAATACGTATCACGTCAAGAAACTCAAATGAGAAATTTAAATAAAGTTACTCAACCCTAACCTTGAAATGTGAGCTAATACCAGCATTAGGAGCGTAGCTGAGGACGTTTACTGTTGCATCGCCAATATTACAATGATAGGAATAATAATATTAAAAGGCATCACATAGCCCTGCAAGGCTCTGCTAATGCCAGTTCTATCTGAATCAAAGGAATTCAAACCAAGCTGAAATCATGGTCAAGCCAAATATGCACAAATTTACCAACGAATGTAATGTTGTGGTTGGA